GAAGGGGAACATCACACACTGGGGCCTATCATGGGGAAGGGGGAGGGGGGAGGGATTGCATTGGGAGTTATACCTGATGTAAATGACGAGTTGATAGGTGCTGACGAGTTGCTGGGTGCAGCACAGCACCATGGCACAAGTATACATATGTAACAAACCTGCACGTTATGCACATGTATCCTAGAACTTAAAGTATAATAATAATAATAAAAAAATTAAGATTAAGCATATGTGAAACTATACTGAAAGGATATGAGGCAGGACTACGACTAAGTAAAAATATTAATACTAAGTAATGATATTATGATGCTTATTTGGTTGTTTTCCTCTTTTTGGTGGGTAGATTTGGGGTCTCACCATGTTGCCCAAGCCAGTCTCTAACTCCAAATGATCCTCCCACCTCAGCCTCCCAAAGTACTGGGATTACAGATGTGAGCCATTGCACCTGGCCTGCTTTCTGTTTTTTTTTAAAACCCAGATTTAGATCTTCACATCCAAATAAATGTTCAGCATCAAAGCAGTTGTTAGAACTCTTTACTTCAAAGAATCTCTTTTGAAATTGCCTTCTGAGCTAGTTTAGTATTCATTATCTACAGCTAGATACTTGATTTATACCCAAATCTAGTTGTTTTTTTTTTTTTTTTGAGACGGAGTCTCACTCTGTCGCCTAGGCTGGAGTGCAGTGGCCGGATCTTGGCCCGTCTAGTTTTTTGTTTTTTTTTTAGTAGAGACGGGGTTTCACCGGGTTAGCCAGGATGGTCTCGATCTCCTGACCTCGTGATCCGCCCGTCTTGGCCTCCCAAAGTGCTGGGATTACAGGCTTGAGCCACCGCGCCCGGCCCAAATCTAGTCTTGATCCTGGTTTACTCACTCTCAGAAGAGTTCTTGAATCATTAATTTCTTCAACAAACATTTATTGAGCATCTACTGCATATTAGGCCCTGTGCTAAATTCCAGGAATAGACAGATAAATAAGGCATAGTACCTACTCTTAAGGAGTGTAAAATCTAATAAAAGAAGATAGATGTATATACCAATAAATACATACATACTGGGTCTAATGAGGCACATAGATATGCCTGGCATGCTGTGGCATCAAAGACGGCTTTGTAGAGGTGACTCGAGCTGGTAATGAATTGGTATTCATCAGCTAATTAAGGAAAGACTGACAAAATATTGTGAGCAAAGGAGAAAGGTACCAAATGGCATAGAGTGTTTGGGGAGCTGTATGAGCATTACTTAGAGGTAGAAGTTAGTGGGATTGGACTTTAAGACATTTGGCAGTAGAGGTAGGAGAGGGGAGACAAGGAGGAACAGAAAGCATTTACCATGTCAAGCCATTGGGATTTTATCCTATAAGCAGGTAGTGGGAAACCACTGAAGTATTTTAAACAGTGAAGGGAGATGATCAGATATGCAGACAGTAATGTGGAGAGTAGACTGGAAAGGATAAGTCTGGGAACAAGGAGATCACATGGGTTACAGTGGTTCCACATCTGACTGCCCATTGGAATCATCTAGGAAACTTGTTAAGAATGCAAATTCCTGGGCCCCATTTCCCTGAAATTCTGATTTTAAGTAGGTCTGGTTAGAGCCCAGGAATCTGTGTTATTAACAAGCTTCACAAATGATTCTTATGCTGCTAGCTCTCTATCAGGTCCACTGATAAGTGTTTGAGATCCACTAAATATCTATGGCAGGAAATAACAATGTGCCTGAATTTGAGCGGTAAGAATGGAGGGAAGGCATTAATAGGACTTAGAGATTGATAAGCTGTGGGAAGGTGAAGACGACAACAGAGATTCACAGTGGTGTCCAGATTCCAGCCTGGGTGAATGGTGGAGCCATTTTCCAAACTAAGGAAGTGGAAGAGGGGTGTGTGTGTGTGTGTGTGTTATGTGTGTGTTGGGGGAGGGAGGCACAATGATTTCTATCAGGGACATGACAAATTTGAGGTGCTATGAGATAAGTAGGCAGTTCCTCAGAAGCAGCTGAGGAGCTACAACTGGGCTGAAGTTACAGATTTTGGAGTAATCAGTTAGGAGGAAGTTCAGTAATCAGTTAGGAGGAAGTTCAAATCATGATAGCATAGGCAGTCCTCAGGGAGAGCACATAGAGGAGAAAAGAAGAGGGCAAAGAATCTTGTAGAAACACTGCCTTGTAAGGATGAGGATTCAACAAGACTTGAGAACAGTCTGAAGTCATAAGAGACTCAGGAGAAAGCCAGCCAAAGCAGGAGTTGCAGGAGGGAATTTCCACATATCTTAATGTTTAATGGACTCCTGTGCATGTCAAGATCACTTAGATGCTTTTTCAGAGTATACATTCTATCCCTGCTGAATCTGTTGGGGAGGTGGAGATGGCATGGCATTTTGAAAAGGCTCTCAAAAATTCTGATAGGGCTTCTCTCTCAAGTCTTTTAAGACTTGAAGGTAGGGACAATGTCTTTTGCTACACAGGGTGGGCATTTAATAAATATTTGTTTAATGGTTGTCTTTGCTATCTTAGTTTGATTCTGGCACTAATAAAATCACATTTACATACTAAAGATTCACCACTAGAACAGTTATTTATAATTGTGGCACAAGGTTGGGAGACAATTTCAAAGGAAGAGTTCCAAAAGCATTTTCTCAAAGCCCCTAAGTACAGTAGTCCCCTCTTATTTGCAGTTTTGTTTTCTGAGGTTTCTGTTACCCTTTGTACAGTATAAGAAGATGTTTTGAGAGACAGAAAGAAATCACATTCACATAACTTTGATTACAGTATATTGTTATAATCATTCAATCTTATTCTTAGCAATTATTAATCTCTTACTGTGCCTAATTGATGAATTAAGCTTTATCATAGGTATGTATGCATAGGAAAAAACATAGTATACAATCGGCGCTCTATATCCATGGGTTCTGCATCTGACAGTTCAACCAAGTGTGGATTGAAAATATTTAATAAAAACAAAAAGGATGGTTGCAGCTGTACTGAACATGTACAGAGTTTTTTCTTGTCATTCCTAAACAATATGTCATAACAACTATTAATATTTAACATTTACATTGTATTAGATATTGTAAGTAATCTAGAGATTATTTAAAGCATATGGGAGAATATGTATAGGTTATATGCAAATACTGCACCATTTTATATAAGGGACTTGAGTGTCTGTGGATTTTGACGTCAGGAGCCAATCCCTCATGGATACTAAGGGACAGCTATAAATAAGGTTCGGTACTACCCACCGTTTCAGGCATCCGCTGGGGGTCTTGGAACATATCTCCCAGGGAAAAAGAGGGTATTTAGTCTTCTAAAATGACCACTTTGAAGGAAATAATGTTAATTTTATATATATATACACACACACACACAGACACAATTTAATTAATTAATTTATTTATTTAATTTATTTTTGAGATGGAGTCTCACTGTGTCATCCAGGCTGGAGTGCAGTGGCGCCATCTTGGCTCACTGTAACCTCTGCCTCCCAGGTTGAAGCAATTCTCCTGCCTTAGCCTCCTGAGTAGCTGGGATTACAGGCACCTGCCACCATGTCCACCTAATTTTTGTATTTTTAGTAGAGACGAGATTTTGCCATGTTGGCTAGGCTGGTCTCAAACTCCTGACCTCAAGTGATCTGCCTGCTTCACCCTCCCAAAGTGCTGGGATTACAGGTGTGAGCCACTGGACCCAGCAGGTTTGGTATATTTTTTAAAAATACGCTCACATTGTTACAATGTACACATAAATACAAACATCTTCACTTGCCTAAGAAAACAGCTTGGAGTCCTGGAAGAGGCCCAGGGATACTCTAGTAAGTAGTCTTGAAGACCTGGATTGACCATGTCATGCCACTAAAAAAGTCATTGAATCTCTCTGGGCTTTGTTCTCTCCTTTTTAATATGAGTTTGTCTAGATGGTAATTAAGGTTCTTCTTCATTCTAAAATTTTATGATACAATTTTCCTGAGCCTCTTAAAAGTTTATAACTCAGTTAAGCTACAAATAAGTAAAAATTTCCTCTGCTTTATTGATCCCTACCATTTAGCTTATATTGGATTTAATCCCATTTCTTTTACTTTTACATTAATCCAAGTGTTTAAAACTTACATAAACTTGTTTGTTATTTTGAAATTATCAAAGTATTACCATTGTTTTGTCTTGTGTGTTTTTTCTACAGATTGGACCAGTGGATCACATTGAATTCTCTTCTGGCCCTGAATTCAGAAAAACATTAGCCTCAAAAACCATTAGCATTTCTGAAGAAGGTTTGTAGGGGCTGACAGGGACTGGCTGAAGTCTTGCTTTAGTTGACTGAAAGAATAAACATTGCTTTGTGGAGTGCCAGAAGTAGGAATAGTTTTCATATATGAGCTTAAGTCATCAGCTTCCCAATTTTTAGATAAGGATTTTTTTTTTTTTGTAATGTGATTAGCTTCCACCTCAAAGCCTTTTTTTTTGGAGAAGGCAGTAACCTCCTCTGGATTTCATACCATGGGGCAAGTGTGGCCTGGAGCTCAGTTTTTGTGGATTCCAAGCCATTGGCCTCATAGTGCTGAGGATTGCACAGAACTTTGTGCTGAGGTTGCTGTTTGTCTGTGATCATCAGCTGAGCTGGAATTTGAGGTTCTGGTAAAATGGCCAGGCAGTGGTGAGGTATTAAGTTTTTTCATTTTTTATTGAAAGAATGAATTTGTTTTTACTTTCTACTGTGTGTGTAGTTTATACCTGTGTTCTCTTCTCATTTAGTCTTCTCAGTCTTTTCAAAAACCAGTGTTTGTTAATTCTGTTTGTTTCTCAGTTTCCTTTTTCGTTAATCTTTATTATTCTATTTTGGGGGGATTAACTTGTTGGCTTTTTTCTAACTTTATTTTTTCTTGTTTTCTAATATGTGTAATTGAGGCTGAATATGTTCCTGCATGGACCTACTTATCATCATCTGGTGTTGTTCAGGTCTACATAGTTTGTAGTTCACATTATGATTTCTTTAGCTTGTAAAAGGAGTTTTTAGCTTCTAAATATTAAGGATTCTAATAAATAGGGCTATGTTTTTGTGGTCGATTTCCATTTTCATTGTATTTTGATTAGCTGATGTGTATGATGATATCAATTCTTAGAAATTTGTTAAAATTTCTCTTGTGACTGAGGATAGTCAGTTTTTATGTTCCACATTTATCTGAAGAGACCAAACATTTGCTGTTGGTTGTATGTATTGTATGTGTATATATCTCCCTTTGGTCAAGCTTCTAAATTGTATTGTCCAGATTTTTTATATTTTTTCTGATTCTTTAGTCAGCTTGATCCATTAATTTCTCAGAAGTTGCATTAAAAATTACCCATAATGATTATGGAATTATTTATCCTTGTAAATCTGTTACATTCATCTTAAGGCTATAAGGTGAAAATAGTTCAGGATTGTTATATTTCTTGTTGGATTTTGTCTCTTTTATCACTAAGTAATTATTCCCAATAATCCTTTTTGACTTATAGTCGATTTTGTTTAATATGAACATTACTACCCCTGTGTTCTGGTATAACTTTTTGATATTTTTTTTTAATTTTATGTAAAATTTCTATGCTATTTTAATAGAAGACAGAATCATACAATTAACTTTCATATACTCAACAACAAACTTTAATCATTATCAACTCATGGCCAATCCATTTTTTACCTAAACACCTACCCACACCCACCCACTCTTCCCACCTTTTTCTTGATTATTTTGAAGTGAAACCCAGACAGCACGTTATTTTATGTATAAATATTTTATATGTATCTCTAAAAGATCAGGTCCATTTTTAAAACATAAGCACAATAATATTGACACTCCTTTAAAAAATTCTTAATATACTTATATATCTAATCAGGGTTCAAATGTTGCCAATTGTCTTGTTTCAAAAAATAGCTTTTTAGGCCGGGTGTGGTTTCTCACACCTGTAATCCCAGCACTTTGGGAGGCCGAGGCAGGCGGATCACAAGATCAGGAATTTAAAACCAGCCTGGCCAATATGGTGAAACCCTGTCTCTACTAAAAATACAAAAATTAGCCTGGTGTGGTGGTGGGCGCCTATAGTCCCAGCTACTCAGGAGGCTGAGGCAGGAGAATTGCTTGAAGCCCAGGAGGCAGAGTGAGCCAAGATCATGCCACTGCACTCCAGCCTGGGCGACAGAGCGAGACTCTGTCTCAAAAAAAAAAAAAAAAAAAAAAGCTTTTTAATTATTACAGTTGGAACCCAGGTAAGATCTGTATGTGGCCATTGGTTGATGGCTTGTAAGTCTCTTTACTTCTGGGTTCCTTCTCTCCTTTTTCTTCCTTGAAGTTTTCTTTGTTGAAGAAACAAGATATTTGTTCTGAAGTGTTTTTCAGAGTCTGAATTTTGCTAATTGAGTCTCTGTGATGTCATTTAATGTGTTGTTTTCTCCTCTGTATTTCTTGTAAATTGGATATCCCTTTACTTTCAGGCTGTTTGATTATGTTGTAGTTGTGTCCAGCATCTACCTAGATGTCATTCCTTTAAATAATTAGACAGTCTTTTTTAACCAGCAAGCATAATCAGTATTCATTTATTGTATTTACTGATATATTTGTGCTTATTTCTAATATCTTATTTCATGGGTTTTTTTTGCCCTTTTTTTCCTTTACTTTTTGTTGCTCTTTTTTGCCTTTTATTGGATTGAGTTTTCTATATTCTCTCTTTCCTACTGTATTGGTTCAGAAATTATACATTTCATTTTTAATTTTTAGTGGTTATTCTTGAATTTTTAACATTCATAGTTGAGTTGAAGTTTAAGGTGAAGTTGGACATGGTGGTGCATACCTGTAGTCCCAGCTATTCGGGAGGCTGAGGTGGGAGGATCACTCGAGCCCAAGAATTAAAGATTGTAGTATGCTATCATCACACCTATGAATAGCCACTGCACTCCAACCTGGACAACATAGTGAGACACCATCTCTTAAAATTTTTTTCTTTTTAAATTAAGGTGAATATATCTACCTCCCAAACAATATAAGGACTTTAGACCTTTTTAGCACTGATTTGTTCCCTCCATCTTCTCTGATACTGTTTTTTTTTTGTTTGTTTGTTTGTTTGTTTTTGAGAGTCTTGCACTGTGGCCCAGGTTGGAGAGTGCAGTGGTGTGATCTCAGCTCACTACAACCACCGCCTCCCAGGTTCAAGCAATTTTCCTGCCTCAGCCTCCCGAGTAGCTGGGACTACAGGTGCACACCACCACGCCCAGCTAATTTTTTCTATTTTCAGTAGAGATGGGGTTTCACCATGTTGGCCAGGATGATCTCAATCTCTTGACCTTGTGATCCGCCCGTCTCGGCCTCCCAAAGTGTTGGGATTATAGGTGTGAGCCACCAACCCAGCGTCTGATACTGTTTTCAAATATTTGTAGATCTACTCTGTTTTTAACCCTCCCGTTTAGTTCCCCTTGCCTTTTATTTTTTGAGTCAGTGCTTAGCTAGGATTTCTCCACATTTGTCATTTTCTTTGCCAACAATTACTTCATTTTAAAATTTCTGATTTAAATAATGTAAATATGTAGGCAACAAATGTATAAAACCAAAACAAGTTTCATGACACCTTTTATTGCCTGAGATGCTCTCTGATATTTTCTCTTCTCTGCTATTGTTGCCCACAGTTGCTTCTCGCATCCACTTCTTTTTTTTGTTTGTTTTTTGAGATGGAGTCTCACTGTGTCAGAATGCAGTGGCATGATCTTGGCTCACTGCAGCCTCTGCCTCCCGGGTTCAAGCAAAACTCTGCCTCGGCCTCCCGAGTAGCTGGGACTACAGGCACCTGCCACCATGCCTGGCTAATTTTTTGTATTTTTAGTAGACACGGAGTTTCCCCGTGTTAGTCAGGATGGTCTCAATCTCCTGATCTTGTGATCCACCTGCCTTGGCCTTCCAAAGTGCTGGGATTACAGGTGTGAGCCACCAGGCCCAGCCATATTTCTTTTATTTACCTTCTATTGGAGTAGGAATGATTCTTTAGTATTAAGATTTAACTTTGGGTACTTTTCACCAATAATATTTTGAAGTACTGCTTCCTCCCCATTTTTTCTTTTCTTTCTAAAACACCTATTAGAGGTGTGTTGGACCTTCTCACTCTGTTACTTATATCTTTTTTTTTTTTTTTTTTCAATGAGACAGAGTTTCGCTCTTGTTGTCTAGGCTGGAGTGCAATGACGTGATCTCAGCTCACCGCAACCCCCACCTCGCGGGTTCAAGTGGTTCTCCTGCCTCAGCCTTCTGAGTAGCTGCGATTACGGGCATGTGCCACCACCCCTGGCAAATTTTTTGTATTTGTAGAGACAGGGTTTCTCCATTTTGGTCAGGCCAGTCTCGAACTCCTGACCTCAGGTGATCCGCCCACCTCGGCCTCCCAAAATGCTGGGATTACAGGTGTGAGCCACCACGCCTGGCCGCCTTATCTCTTTTAACCTCTTCTGCATAATTTCCTCCCTTTATCAGTGGTGCACTCAGGATGATTTCCTCAGATCTGTCTTTTAGTTTACTAATTCTCTTCTTTGCTATGTCTTTGCTGTTTTAGCTATTCGTTATGATTTTAATTTTGGTGGCTATATTTAATATCCAGAAGTTGTATTTATTTCTTTTTCAGATCTATCTGCTCTTTGGATGTCCTGTCCTGTTTTTTTTTTATTGCTGTTCCTATGCTTTATCTGTTTAATAATTTTAGTCATGTCTTATGACTAACCTTTTCTGATTGTTGTATTTCATATGTGCACATTATCAATTATTGAATCTGCATACTGACTCTCTTTCATGATTGGTTGTTCCTTTGTGTGATTTGTAATTTTTTATCATGGGCTTATCATTAGTAGAAGTTCTGCTAGATTATATGTATTTGTCTTTGGAGTAGTTTTGCATTTGCTTTTTGCTATCATTGAACAATGTAGGAAAAAATTGGAACAAATTTTAGTATACATTTCTTCACTTGGGGTTGCTGTACTGTATTGATGGTAGAAATTCAGACCCTGTTCATGCTTGTGGCAAGTCAGGGATTTTGATTTCTCAAAGTTGACTTTTATTTTTCTCTCAGCTACTATCCATGCAGATAGAAAACTTATTTGCTCTTTCACCAGGGGAGAGATTTTCTTATTCCTATTTTATGGACAAAGCTGTCCTTCAATGCTCTAAGATAAATGAAGGTAGCTCAGTTTTTCCCTCATTGCAGTCTGCAGAAACCACATCTTCTATTCCTCAGTAGACTATCCTAGCATCATTGCCCACTTATTGCTCCAGCTTTGAGTTCCTTTTTCTTTTCTGGCACCAGGGGATTTCTCTGTTTAGAAAGATTGGTTGTATATTAAATATATATTTTTTGTAATTTAGCATGTCTGTGTTTTTATGGAAGGGCATAGGCCTGTGTACTTCAGCTCAGTCTGCCACGTTTAATGAAGTTGATAATAAATTTTATAGTTTATTTACTGTGGGAGAGCTTTAACTTCAAATTTTTTATTAAATTCATTATACAGTAGAAAGCTATTAGCATAATATGTGGTAAACTTCTAATATCTATGTTTCTAGTTGGAAGTATTAGCAATTGTTGTCTTTTCCATGTGATCTTTTTTTCTCTACTATTTTATTTTAATTGTAATATATACTCTGGATTAGTGCGTTTTTTGACACATATGGATGAAGAAGATCAAAGTGACAAAAAGGAGACTTCAGAAACTGAATTTTCAATAACAGAAAATTATTCTGGTCAGAAAACCCATGTGTTTCCTACTGCCGATTCAGCTGTCAGCCTTTCCAGTGATCAGAATACTACTTCTCCTGGTATTGTTCTTCACTTTTTCATTTACACATACTCTTATTCTCCATTATAATGTTACTGAATGTGATTTACTGGGAATACAGTTATGAAAGGTTTGTGAAGTCATTTTGTAATATTTATTTTAGGGGAAGGAAAGTTAAAACTTGCTATTCACATGAAGAACTATGACACCTTGTCACCTTCATAAGACATAATGCAATCATGTATCATATCTTGGTGTAACTTATTAATATGAAATATATAGCAACTGGAATTACTATAATAGTTGACATTTACAAAAATTGAAAAATTAAAACTCTTCCAATTAAAAGAACTTTGAATTTTAATTTGAAAACAAAATAGTATCTATCATTTCTTGCACCTCTACCATGTGCCAAACATCACTGTTTTATATGCGTAGATTCTGGTTTAAGCCTGACCTATGAGGTGTAGACACTATTATTATTCCCATTTTACAGTTGAGGAGATTGAGATTTAGAAGGATTTAGTGCCACTTTTTGTTTCATTTCATTTGGAGGTAGCAATTAAAACTGCTATTCTTTAGTCCTAATGAATACATTTTATCCTATGAATAATAGGACATAGTAAATACATCAGTTCAATCACTGACAGTGTCTTGGAAATATGTTTTTTTCTCTCAGATATTGATGGTCAATTAAAATGATTTTACTCAGTGTTTAGTGTATGTTCTATTACCATTATTAAAGTGATATAAACAGTAAAAATGCTATTTTGAATGACATTACTGTTACTTAAAGAAAAGCTATTAGTAAGCTGACTTTAAATCTTGTAATGATTTTCTCAGTTCTTTCTAGATGCCATGTATGTTTTAGTCATCAACATATGGGGATAATAATTTCCACTTCACAGAGTTGTGAAGACTGAATATCATATATAAAGCATCTCAGAATCTTGTTTTATTTTCTTGGTCACTGATAGCTTTTCTCTTCTCTTCTCTGGGGTAGGATTGACAAATGAGGTTAAACAGGATTTGTATGGCTAGATGGTAGAGGGTTCCAATTATATCTGAGAAGTTTACACTCCATTTTATACTTGGGAATCATGGGAGAATTCTAGGCAGAGAAGTAAAATGAGGAGGTTTTGAGGAAAAATAGAACGGAAGCATAGAGACCACTGAGGAGGCTACAAAAATCTGACCTGGGAAATAATGAAGGCCTGGCTAGTGTTGTGGGAAAGAAATAGAAGAAACGAGACATTTTGAATTAGTAACTGATGGTACTCAGTGACTAGGTGGGTAAAAGAGGAGGAGAGGGGGAACATGGTTGTTTAGTGTTGCCAGAGTCTAAGGCAAAGGTATAACTAGGTCTGATGTCAAAGTCTAGACTCCAACCTTTTGGCTTCCCTGCGCCACATTGGAAGAAGAAGAATTGTCTTGGGCCACACGTAAAATACCCTAACGCTAACAATAGCTGATGAGCTAAAAAAAAAAAAAAAGTCCATGCATAAATCTCATAATGTTTTAAGAACGTTTACTTAGTAGTAAACAGGTACTGTGGCCGTGGGTTAGTGATCCTGGGTTACTAATAGGAGAAAGGGCAACTTGTTACTTAGCAA